GGTGTTTACTATAACTGTGATGCATGTAGCTACTGTTTATCCCACCTAAACTTGCAATTTGGAATGTTTCAATACAACATAGCATTAGTCATTACAATCCCAGAGAGTAGAACTCTATTTGGGCCAAGAATGCCTTTGAGGCATTTTGACAAACGCTTAGCGTGCACTAGTATTGTCAAATTGGTTGTAGATATGAGGGATTGCCTCACCCTCCCCCAAAATCGGCTTGGGGATTCCATATTATCACCATTGTACACAACAACAATACCAATCCTATGGAGTTTATGGGATTAGGGCGAGCAAGCATATTGTTGCTTTGAAGATATACCCAAAAATGGTGGAATTGCATTTCTTTAACTAAATTCAAATTTTCGATAGAGAAGAGAGTTAGAAACATACCTTAGATGCTTAGGAGGATTGAAGTGTTATTCAATTGATATCCCAAGTGATTGAAAGAGATGATGAGCGAAGGTTTTCAATGAAATTAGTGTGTGAGGGGAAGGGAAAGAGGGACAAGCATTGTAGTGTTAAATGTGGTGTGTGTGTGTTTAAGTATGTTATAACTAACAGAAAGAAGTTTTTAAGAAAAAACAAAACTAAACAAATTAAAAGCAACACTAACCTGGCGACGCGAGCTCCCAGCGAGCATAACACCATGCGAGGCTATTTGTTTAGCGTGAAATGGACATGATGATGTGAAGCTAATAGCGAACTAAATGCCTGGCGACACAACCTTTGCCTCGAGATTGACCTCACTTAATCCCTCGCTGGGTGAGCTCTATAGCACGTTTAAGACTTGGTGACGCGTGGTGTTTAGCGAGAAAGGGAGTGGTTCGTTGTGCTTAGGCTGGGCAAGCTCCCAAGCGAGCAAAGGACAGTAGGTTTACAATAATGGATAGTAGGTGATGTGAGGTCCATGGCTATCTTTAAAGCGTGCATGGGGGCTGGCCAACTGAGTTTTACAGCGAAAATGGGGGATGGCCAGGCGAAACCAATAGCGAGCTAGAAACATGGCTGGCGAGGATTTCAGCGAGCAAAGGACCGTGCGAGGCAATCTCTAACACGTGCTGAGAACCTGGCGACGCGAGCTCCCAACGAGAAACTTACCTGGCGAGATAAGCTACTTAGCGAGCTGCGAAGCAGGCGACGCGAGGCATAACGCGAGTTTCTTTCCTAGCGATGCGAGGTCTACTGCTAGGTTTTGCTCGCTGCATCCCGCGCGAGGCGAGGCTAAAGCCAGGTTTTGCTCGTTGTATTAAACGCGAGGTAATTACCTGGCGACGTGAGTCTTCCGCGAGATTGGTCTCACTATAACCCTCGTTGGGCGAGTTGTATAGTGCGCTGAAGGCTGGGCGACGCGAGCTGGAAAGCACGCTGGGCAGTAGGCGATGCAAGTTGTGCCGCGAGGTGAAATGTTTGCAATGCGAGGTTTGCTTCTAGGTGCGCTGTGCATTAAACTGGGTGACGCGAAGTACGCATCACTGTTTGGAGCGTACGCATGTAATTTTTATTTCGTTTTGTGAACGACTCCAAGCGCTATGACTTTCCATCATGCTCCATTACCTGTTCAGACACCAAGATTTAGCCAAAATCTTATTAGTGCATAAAACAAACGAAAATTTATAGTTAAGCTTAAATAAACTACGAATCGGGTTGCCTCCCAACGAGCACCTGATTTAACGTCACGGGACGACACATACGATCAAACTTAAGGTTCACTTAACAATTGAGGCTCCTTCAAATGAATCACCGATACAACCTTTTCCTCATCCATGCCAAGGTAATGTTTCAACCTTTGCCCATTAACTCTAAACCTGTTCGTTCCATTCTTGGATTCAATTTCTACAGCTCCACTTGAGAGTACTTGCACCATTCAGAATGGTCCCGACCATCTAGATTTCATCTTACCCAAAAATAGTTTGAATCTTGAATTATACAAAAACACGACATCTCCAGGTTTGAAAATCCTCTTTTGAATATGCTTGTCGTGCATGATCTTTATTCTTTCCTTGTACAGCCTGGTGCTTTCAAAAGCATGGTAACAGAACTCATCGAGTTCATGAAGTTCTGTGACTCTACTCGTACCAGCAGCCTCTATGTCAAGATTTAATTGCCTTAATGCCCAAAAAGCTCTATGTTCTAGCTCCACCGGTAAGTAACACGCCTTTCCGAATACCAATTTGTACGGTGACATACCAATCAGAGTTTTGAATGCAGTGCGGTAGGCCCATAGTGCATCATCCAATTTTTTCGCCCAATCAGTCCGAGTAGCATTTACAATTTTGGTCAAAACGCTCTTGATTTCTCTGTTTGACACCTCAACTTGACCACTTGTTTGTGGGTGATACGAAGTGGCAACCTTATGGAGTACACCATATTTTTTCAGCAACTGTGCGAAAGCTCGATTGCAGAAATGAGTTTCTCCATCACTAATGAACGCTCTTGGAGTTCCAAATCGAGTGAAGATATTTTTTCTTAGAAAACCAATAACTCTCTTTGCATCATTTGTTGGGAGTGCTACAACTTCTACCCATTTCGAGACATAGTCCACTGTTACGAGTATATACTTGTTGTTGTATGAGCTAAAAATGGTCCCATAAAGTCGATTCCCCATACATCAAATACTTCCACTTCTTGGATTGGGTTCATGGGCATCTCATGTCGATGAGAAATATTCCCCCTCCTTTGACACTCATCATATCTCTTTACCCAAAAGTGTGCATCTTTAAACAACGTTAGCCAATAGAAGCCTGACTCCAAAACTTTAGCAGCTGTCCTTACTCCTCTGAAATGACCTCCATAAGGCAAAGCATGACATGCCTGCAAAACAGAAGCTTGATCTATCTCGGGAATACATCTCCAGATCATGTTATCAATACAAATCCGAAACAAATATGGTTCATCCTTGAAATACATGCGACAATCACGGAAGAGCTTTTTCTTCTGCACAGAAGACAATTCATAGGGAACAATACCTCTTGCCAGGTAGTTTGCAATGTCTGCATACCATGGCGCTTCCTCTAGGCTCGTGGCTAACAGTTGTTCATCCGGAAAAGTCTCCATGATCTCTTCCACCTCCACCTTCGTTTCAGCTCCTTCAAGCCTAGACAAGTGATCGACAACTTGGTTCTCCGTTCCTTTTCGGTCACGAATTTCCAAGTCAAACTCTTGCAGCAGTAGGACCATCTAATCAAGCGTGACTTTGACTCCTTCTTATCAATTAGGTACCTGAGAGCAGAATGTTCAGTATAAACAATTACCTTCGAGCCTATCAAGTAGGACCGGAATTTGTCAAATGCCAACACCACGTCTAACATCTCTTTTTCTGTCACTATGTAATTCAGTTGAGCCCCATTTAATGTTCTACTCGCATAGTATATTGGATCAATGATTTTATCTTTACTCTGTTCAAGTACTGCTCCTACAGCATGATCACTTGCATCACACATCAGCTCAAATGGTTGCTCCCAGTCAGGGAAAACTATGATAGGTGCAGACACCAACCTCTTCTTCAATCCCTCAAAAGCTACCCTGCAGTCATCAGAAAACACAAAAGATTGATTTTTTTTCAAGTAATTTACACAAAGGGTTAGCAATCTTGGAAAAATCTTTTATAAAACGCTAGTAGAAACCAGCGTGACCAAGGAAACTCCTTATTGCCTTGACAGAAGTGGGTGGTGGCAGCTTCTCTATTACATCGACTTTAGCACGGTCTACCTTAATACCCTTACTTGACACTAGGTGTCACAAGACTATACCTTCATGTACCATGAAATGGCATTTTTCCCAGTTTAGCACCAGATTAGTCTCCATACATCTCCACAACACTTTTTTCAGATTTCTAAGGCAATCATCAAAAGAATTTCCCACCACTGAGAAATCATCCATGAAAACCTCCATTATATCCTCTACCATATCTATGAAGATGGCCATCATGCACCTTTGGAATGTGGCGGGTGCATTGCATAGGCCAAACGACATTCTTTGAAAAGCGTAAATGCCATATGGACAGGTGAATGATGTTTTCTCTCTATCCTCCGGGGCAATAGATATCTGATTGTACCCCCCAGTATCCATCCAAGAAGCAAAAATGGTACCTCCCTGCCAATCTATCTAGCATCTGATCAATGAACGGCAAGGGAAAATGATCTTTTCAGGTGGCCTTATTCAATCTTCGGTAGTCCATGCAAATTCGCCATCCCGTAACTATTCTTTTTGAGATCAACTCATTGTTCTCGTTTTGCACAACAGTCATCCCACCTTTCTTTAGCACACATTAAACCGGGCTAACCCAATTGCTATCTGAGATGGGAAAAATAATTCCCGCATCTAACCACTTGATTACTTTCTTCTTTACAACTTCCTTCATGTTAGGGTTTAGCCTTCTTTGATGTTCTCTGGAAGGTTTGTGCCCATCTTCCGGCAAAATTTTATGCATACAGAAGGCCGGGATGATACCCTTAATGTTCGCAATGGTCCAACCAATTGCAGCCTTGCACTGTTTCAACACATGCAAAAGTTGTTCTACCTGCACATCTAACAAACCAGATGAGATAATAACAGGTAAAGTCGAGTTAGGTCCCAAGAAAGTATACCTGAGGTGAAATGGCAGCGGTTTCAGCTCCAATTGTGGTGGTGCTTCGATCGATGTCTTGGCTAGAGATGTCTTTCTTTCTTCCGAGTGTAAAGGCTCGAATTAGAGCTCTCTCTTCCAGTACCCTTGCCTTTGAAGAGCTAACACCCATTCCGCCAAGTCCTCACCATTTACTTCTTCTAAGTTTATAAGGCAGGTTGTTAGGGGGTCTTTTGCATTAAGTTCCTCATCATCTTCCTCCATGATTAAATGTTATTTCTTCATTATTCAGCCTCATTTTCAGCTCCCCTATTTCACAATCAATTAAAGCTCTTCCTGTGGCCAAGAACGGCCTTCCCAAAATTATGGGAATATTCTAATCAACCTTGCAGTCCAGAATGACAAAATCTGCTGGAAACACGAATTTTCAAACTTGTACAAATACATCGTCAAGTATACCTGATGGCTTTTTTACCGTTCGGTCAGCTAACTGTAGTAACATGGATGTGGGTCTTGCTCTTCCAATGCCTAACTTTTTATAGATAGACAATGGCATCAGATTTATACTTGCTCCCAAATCACACAATGCCTTGGCAAATGCATAGCTACCTATGGTGCATGGAATTGTGAAGCTTCCAGGGTCAGATAACTTCTCAGCTATAGGTCTTGACACAATAACACTACAGGTCTGTGTCAATGTGACAGTTGCCAAGTCTTGGAAGTCGAACTTACGGGATATCAAGTCCTTCATCATTTTTGCATAACCGGGCATTTCCCTCAAGGCATCGATTAGAGGAATGTCTACCTAAAATTTCTTCTGCATTTCCATGATTTTTTTGTACTATTCATCCTTATGATATTTGGCCAACCTCTGCGGGAAAGGTGTCGGAGGTCGCTTCTTTTCTGTGGCTTGAGTTAGATCCTGCTCAAGCACTTTTTCTAATGCCTTTTCTTGCACTTTCTCAGTCTCCTCCGCAACCTCTTTTTCCTTGTTTATTTCCTCCTGGGCTGGCTGCACTCTTACTCTTGTTAGCTCAGTTGACTCATCTACCTCAATTCGCACTGAAACAAGTGTTTCAGTCAATCGGCTCTCACGAGCGATTTCTTGATCTAAATCAAGATCTCTACCATTTCTCAAACTCACCACCATAAGCTGTTTCGGGACCTGCTCTTTTGGATTGACATGTGTGTCCGCAGGTAAAGTCTCGTGGGGGTGGTTATTTAGAGCCATATATATTTTCCCTAATTGAATCTCAATGCCTTTTATAGCTGATTCATGTGCTTCAACATTCTCTTGCATTTTTCCATTGGATCCAATCAGTTGTTGCAGCATTCCCTTAATTTTAGATAGCCCATCATCTTGTCTCACTATCTGTTATTGAGGTTGTTGAAAAGTTAGCTGCTGATTTTGCTGGTTGTATCTTTGTTGCCTTTGGTAAGGTACTACTTGACCCTGTGGTCGCATAGCTCCAGAATTGTTGGTGTTATTGTACTGTTGTTGTGCTGGTCTATACTGCTGATTTTGCTGCCCCCAATTCTGACCACCTTGCCTCTAGCCTCCATAGTTGCCCACATAGTTCATGATCTCTTGATAGTTCTGGTTGTCACATTCACCACTCCACGAACACATGTATAGTTGGTTAATACATGGTGTACATAATCCCCCATTAGTCGTGTCAACTATATGTACCTGCTTCTGGCCTGATTCATCAATCTTTTGGTGAGTATACTCATTTACGTCATCAGAGTGGCCATATTCTTGGCTATGAAATTGTTCGGGTCCAATGCTACTGAGTGAACTATAGGGGTGATTGTGGAGTCTCTTGTCATCCATCCCGAGTTTTGAGCCATTTTATCTAGTAGGACCTTACACTCTCTAAATGACTTGCTTAAAAATGCTCCACCTGCTGAAGCATCAATATTGGCCTTCAAGCTGTCTGCCAATCCCATGTAAAACCGTTGTCCTAACATCTGATCTGGAATGCCATGATGTGGACACTTAACCGGCATACCTTTGAATCTTTCTCACATTTCTTGTAATGTTTCGGCTGGTTTCTTCCTGAAGCTCAATATCTCATCAACCTCCTTGGCAGTCTTATTGGGTGTGTAGAACTAATTCAAAAACTGCTTGACTAATTCCTTCCAAATTGTGATGGAATTTATGGGGAGTGAATTAAGCCAAGTTCGGACTTCTCCTGTCACTAAAAATAGAAACAACAACATTCTTATTACTTCCGGTGTCATATTTGGTTGCCTTTGTGTGACACAAATCGACAAAAAAAATTTCAGATGCTGCTGTGGATCTTCAATGTAAGACCCGGAGAACAGTCCCTTGTTTTGCAGCAGATGTAGAATATTGTTTGTGATTTGAAATGACTCAGCTTGTATCTGAGGGACTGCAATTGCAGTTGCCAAATTTTCAGCGGTGGATTGTGCCCAATCATGCAATGCTGCTTCTGGCACAAGAGGTGCCACACCCTGATTGTTCGGGCCATTCACATTGTTTCGATTGTTTTGATTATCCAAAGTGTCACCCATATCCGGTTCAATTTATTCTCTTGGGTGATGCTGTTGTTTGTCCTTCTTGTTTGCATAATTTAATGCCTTGAAAGCTTTCTCAGGATCCGGTAATGCTTCAAATAATTCACTAGTTCTTGAGGAGTTTCTAGGCATACACCTATAACACACAAGACCACAAAAGTTAAAATTTCAATGTAATGAATAAAAATAGAGAAAATTGACTAAACTAAGAATCCTAGCAATTCTTATAGTTGTAATTAGTAACACTGTTGCCTCCCCGGCAACGGTGCCAAAATTTGATCACGCCTAACTATGCCTCCTAAGAGGTCTAGCGGTCGTTGCAAATATAATCCAGTTTACAAGCCTGGGATGGAATCCCACAGGGAAATAACGTGCCAATTACAACTAATAGTTTTGCACGAATTCAAGTAATCAACCTTCAGAAAGATTATATAACAATTTGAGAGTTTACTAACTAAGATTAAAGTAATTAAAAATACACTAATTTGTAACTAATAAGGCAAATATTGTAGACAAGATTTGGAAAAGTCTAAGGTTATGATTTTTCCTATTGTCGAAATCTTCCCCGCTACGTTTCCTATAAATTTTCTTAAATATTCTCTACCAATCGTGAGTAGTTTGATTGTCGTAGCTCTCTCTCGAGCAACTACCATAATTTACTAGATGTATTCTCTCGAACTACGCTAGCTGGCACTAGTTTACCGCTCACTACGATCGCACCAAGACTTCGTTATCTCTAATCCCGCCGTATCGATCTCTCAACTATGTTAGGAGTGGTGTTGTTCAACAACTACCTAAATGTGTACTCTCTCTCGAGCAATATACACACTAAATAGGCATAGTTAATTGAGAGCTCTACAATTAACAACAATGAAAATATAGTTGAACAAGTAGAGAAAAATCAAAGACAAATCTATATTAAACTCAGTAGAAAATCATCCTCCATTAGGTTCCATTAAACCTTAGCTACGATAATTTACTAGACGTATTCTCTCGAACTACGCTAGCTGGCACTAGTTTACCGCTCACTACGATCGCACCAAGATTTCGTTATCTCTAATCCCGCCTTTAAACGCTCTGTATTGATCTCTCAACTATGTTAGGAGTGGTGTTGTTCAACAACTACTTAAATGTGTACTCTCTCTCTCGAGCAATATACACACTAAATAGGCACATTTTTTAGAGCTCTTCAATTAACAACGATGAAAATATAGTTGAACAAGTAGAGAAAAATCAAAGATAAATCTATATTAAACGCAGTAGAAAATTATCCTCCAGTAGGTTCCATCAAACCTTGTATAAGAGAGTTTAGCTACTCATAAATACAACAACAATCAATATAATATTTAAAGACATGAAACTACAAAGTAAAGAGATAAAGGAAGGAAAAACTCGTTTGATTCTTGCTCCACAGTGCTTGGCAGCCTTTTTCTTCTCTACAATTATGACCAACCCTAGAATAACTCATTTGGGGAGTATTTATGTCAATCCCCGATCCAAATCCGGGTTGGGGTCTTTTTAATCTGCGACTTTTAATTACCATGCTATAAACCTCGCGAAGCCTGGTCTATAGCGCGGTCAACCTAGCTATAGACCTCGTGAAGCCTGGTCTATATCACGGTCGACCTGGCTTTAGACCTCGTGAAACCTGGTCTATAGCGCGGTCGACCTGGCTATAGTCCTCGCAAAGCCTGGTCTGTAGCACGGTCAACCTGGCTATAGACCTTGCACAGCCTAGTTTGTGGCATGGTTTGGATACTTGATGCTTTTGTGCTCTTTTCTTGTATTTTTGTCCTCTTTTTGTGCAACTTTCGTTCGACGATTCCTTCCGATGTTCCTACACATAAAACAACCCAATTTAGCTCAAATGTCGCACAATAACTCATTAGAACAACAAAATATAGGGTGAGTAATGTGCTAAAAGTATAGGATTTTGGCCTCACATCATATATATTAAAGTTCTGTACTTGCTTCATCTCCTCCATTCTAGTGATTGTTGTTGGTATTTATTCATAACGTGATTCAAATTTAAAATACAGTTTAAACAAGACATAATATTTTGTGAAAGGTACTTACCCATTCTTTAATTAAAGGATACGTTAATTCTTTGTAAAATGGTGTTATCAAATCTTTAAAATTAAGATATATGTATTCTTGAAAGGGTATATTGGTTATTTTGTTGAATCCCTATAAATACCTAGCCAATCTTGTAGAAATTCTACACTAGACTACAAAAAAAAAAAATGGGATTAGCTACTAACTCTGTCGACACACCGCTCGTAACTAACAGAATTTCTTGATAATTTGTTGCTATTCCGCTGCTTAATATGATCCGCGACAAATTTTTCAATTTAGCTACATAGTATTTTGTCGTTAATTCTTGTTTTTTAGCTGCACATGAGTAGATTCAAGTTTATTTGTTATTAATTCTTCATCTTAATATTACAATCTCTAAAAGTTTCCAACAATTGTTTCTTCTTTTGCCTCTTGTCCGAGTGATTTCTTTTATTGTTAATTCTAAATGAGTCAAAAGGAGAGTACTATAGATTTGTAAGGTTTGGTTTAGTTTTTAACTACTAATTAATCAGTCAGTAAAAAAAAAAGTGGTCGGTCGAGGATAAGGGTTTTAGAATTATTTATTTTAAGGAAAGAATTTGTCATTTTAAGGAAGGAGTTAAGATAGTCATAGCAATTGAATTTATTTTTAATATAATAAAATATTTACGAAATTTGTCATTTTAAGGAAAGAATTAAGATAGTCATGGCAATTCAATTTATTTTCAATCTAATAAAATATTTTGCGAAATTTAGTTATATAAATGAGTTTATTTAGAGAACTCCATAGTTGTTCATCTTCTTATTGTACAAGATCAAGATCAATAGAAATTTAATGCTGAGGAGTAGTTGCGGATAATTTGTTTAATAGCATTGATTGATGAATATTAATATGTTATAACATATCAAAATGCCCTATAAATTCTAAAAGTGCTTTTAACATGTACACATGCCCTTAATATGTGTTGACTGGATTCGAGTTTGTTAATATGTGTTAACATGTACAAATTGTTAAAGTGACTTAAATTGTAGATCTTTTAAACACAAAAACTATTAATTTTTTTCTTTTAAAAAAAAAAGAAGAAGAAACAAAATACTCCTTAGATACTAGTTTATATGACCCTATTTTTAGTTTGTTCCAAAAACATAACCTTTTTCTAAATTTAGAAACAATTAAATTTAAAATTCCCATTTAACCCGTTAATGATAAGCATTAGCCACATAAATATATTTATGACATAGTTATATTACAAGTCTCAAAATATTATAATCACAAAAATATTATGGCATGTTTAAAAATATAAATTTTAATATTTTTTCTTTTTTAAAATTCGTGTTCACTTAAATAGGATCACATATACGAAAATGAAGGAGTATTAGACTTCTAGATTTCAACCACTATTTCACAAAAATAAAGTTTGAATGAGCCAAACTGAAAAAATACTAGCCACATGAACGCAGAGCATTTTCCTAAAGAACCGTATAGCTAATTACAATTTGACCTATTCAACTTCCACCACCACTACCACCGCCGTCCGTTCCGCCGTGACCATGGCCATGACCACCAGAATAACCACCGCTCGCATCAATAGCTATACTTGTCAGCGCCACCGCAGCGACAACACCAGCCACAACGGTAGCACCGCTACCGCCATCACCGTTCCCGTCCCCATGCACGTTCCCTCCGTCTTCGCCAGCATCGTATGTGTGACGAGCAGAAACTCTGCTTTTCATTCTGCTCGTCTCGATGCCTGCATCACGTACGCTATTATTCTTGTTATTGTTGTCGTCGTTCTTACAGAATGTGAAGAAAATTACTATAATGACAAACGCCGAAAGGATGACGATGCTGACTATAGCATACGCCTCCATGATTGTATTGTACCCTTTTTTGGACACAAAATCTTGAAATTTTTTTATAGAACGATTGATGAGTTTAGGGTTTTGATGAATTGAGGATTTTTTGGTTTTTGAAGTTTAAGTTATGTGATTTCTTCAGAAAGTTGGATGCATTTGCATGTGAATGAAGTTTCATCTAACTTGTTGTGCTCGTTGACCTTGTTGGAATTTTCTTTGGATGACAAATGGGCAATGGACTACCTCTCGATATATCTAGCTATCATTAACATTTAAAAATATATTTATTTATTTATTTATTTCTTATTACTATTACTATTAATTTTAAGATACAGACTTTGTGCGTGTTCCTCGTCAATGAATATATAATTGTAAAAAAGTAGTCAAAACATGGATTACACTTTTAACGACCTTGTTGTGCATGTTCCTAGTTCATACGTTTACACACAATAAAAAAATATTATAAACAAATTATTTGAGTCATATTAGATAAATTTTAATTGATTTTAATATCCTATATATGAAAACTTCCTATATTGTAATTCAAATAACAAAAGCTTTAATAAGCAATATTTTAATTGACTTAAAAATCCTAGAAAAATAATTGAATAATTATTCTATCTAACGTGAAATTTATTTTAAAGAGTAAAAACTCGAGACAAAATTTCTCTAAATAATAAAGATTCCTGCTTTTAATATATTAGAGATTATTATTGTTATTCAATTGAGTCTCCTTTCTTCGCCTACGGCTTTGTAATGAATGTGTAGTGATAGCGGATAGAATATTTGGTGAAAGTTCACATTCACCAGAATATTAAATGAACACCTTATTAATTTATGGCTAAATAGAATTTGAGTGATGGTAAAAGAAAAAACAAATACGCTTAAATGAACTATGGACGAGAAATGTTTTCTTCTACGAATACTCAACTACTAATACCATTACACTAAACTTTAACAAATAATTTTTCCTCGCGAACTAAATACACAAAAAAGTTTATGGAGAAATAATTTTAAGCATATCAATTTCTGAGAAAAGATTTTCGTACATACCAAACATTTATAGCCCGTTTGGTCAAGCTTCTAAAATCAACTTATTTTGAGAAGTACTTTTTTTTAAAAGCGGTTTTTAAAAAAATACTTTTGGTGAGAAGCAATTTGTGTTTAACTAATTAATTGGAAAAGCACTTATGAGCATCAATTAGTGTTTGACCAAGCTTTTAAAAATTACTTTTAAGTGTATTTTTGTCAAAAGTATTTCTTTTAAAAAGTATTTTTAGGAACAAACTATTTTTTTCTGCTTCTACCCAAAAATATTTTTTCCTTCTAAAAGCTTGGCCAAACACTTCAACGTACTTTGAAAAAAAAGATATAGTATCATACATTAAAAACAATGTCTTTGGCCTTGGAGAAACTTGTCAAACATTAAACCGGTGAGGCCAATATGGGAACACTCCGGGAAGACGGAGTGAGAGTGTAAGACCTGTGGCGGAGTCAAAAATTTTACTACAAGAGTATCAAAGCATACAGAAATAAACATACGAAGAACCTAAGGAGATGTTTAAACAAATATAGTATCGTACATTAACAAATAGAGATTTAACATATAGTATCGTACATTAGAAAAAAAAATTAACATAGCTATACAATATAATTTTTAGACGAGCTTAAGGTGGCTCCGCTACTGTGTGACCAGTGTTTTTTAACCGTCAATAACAATCATTGTCGCAACCGTCACAATCACCATCATCGCCGCAGCCGGCGGATCCGTCACAACAATTATCGCCGCCACAAAAACAACATTGAAAAGCACCTGCAGCTTCGGCCTGGATTTCCATATTGCCTCTCTCCACATCACGACGATACTGCTTCTTCCCCTTTGTCTTCGTTTTCTTATGTATTAAATGGACCAATAAACACGAAATAATTAAGAGAAATATTACTGCAACAACGACTATGAGTAAAGTTATGTAACATTTCATCTTATAGCTATACATTCTTATAGTTTATTGAAATCGATAAGAATTTTTTTCCCCTTCTCAAATCCAAGTGCAATCGGAAATTTTTGAAACAAATTAATGAAGCTTCTGTTAAGCAAGAGTACCTTATTACTAAGTCCTTTTTTTTTTTCGTACAGACCTAATTTGTTACGGAGTACGTAGGAGTAGTTTGCGTTTGTTTAAAAACATTCTATATTAAGGACAAAATCTATATGGTGACCTAAAAAGGGATATTTGCGTAAATCAGCCTAGTTAATTAATTTGATAAAAATGGACAAACTAAAATTTTCACGCTGCCAAATGAGCTGCGGAGTGTGATTACCATGACATTGCCATATTGGTTTGAGTTTAATCTTGTTTTAATCTGAATTTGTGTCTCTTACTTTGTAGCTTTTTGCAAGCTTTTCTTGGTCTTTTATCAACAGAAAAGAAATGGGATCTTTACACAATAGTCTATTTGAATCACTATTTACTTTTAAGCCGGTATACATGAATTATATGTTAATTATATATAATTAAATATATATTACACATATCATGTATAGTCGTCGGTTATTTTTAGTTTAGGTGGTTGAGCGAGCGGCTATCTAGGTCACGCGTTGTGGACAAAGAATAAGAAAAAGAAGAGAATTGAGTTGTAGCATTTCGGGTGAAGCATTAAAATAGCCCTTTAAGTGGATAGTCTTGAATTTTTGCCCCTATCCCATAGGCAAAACTTTAAACTTAACAAATGTTGCCCCTCACTTGTCCTATTGGTAATACTTTTAATTTCTGACTTTGAAGATCTGCCCATTGGTCAAGGGTGTCAAAAGTTAAAGACCACCTCAATAAGTGTTATATTTCTGCAATTTTTTGCAGCATTTCCCATTCTCGTCAATCGTTGGGCTCCCTCAGCCCAATTTTGATTACTATGTTTGAACACTTGGAATTAGATGAAGAATCTTACCGAAATGTGCCAAAAAAGATATTATTTACCAACAACTGGTCATTTTAGTCATGCTATCAAAAATAGCCAAAAATATTACCAATGATGTACAACATTCAAAAAATATAGGCAAACAAAGAATTTTTTCCAATGGATATTGGTGCAATTCGTTAAAAACACATAGAAGAGACAATATATAAAATTTGGCAAAATTTGAAGGTGAATTAGACTAGTTTGGAGTCAAAATTCATTACTAATGATATACAAAATTAAAAAATTAGGCAAAAGAGGATTATTTTTTTTTCTTCTTCAATGGATATGGTTGAAATTCGTTTAAAACATATAAATGAGGCAATATACAAAATTTTATCAAGATTGAATGTGATTTGGACTTATTTGGTATCAAAATTCGTAGTTAAAATCGAGTTTATTCTTCTACGACACATATATCAAACATGTATCTCACATACATGTATACATGGATATACATGTAATACACATTTAATATATATATGATACACATATGATACATATGTGATACACAAATGAATGAATGATACACGTGTGATACACATTTCAACTTTTTCTATGTTCATCTTCACCTTCGAATTTTCAATTCAAACCACCTCAAAACTCTACCAAATCATCCCAAAATTGAGATTCAAACTCCTTAAGATGTACCTAATCTATTCCAATAATATTCAGTAAAAAAAAAAGCAAATATTTGACCTTTTTTTGCTACAAATAGATAATTAGCTAATATTGATAGCATTTGGCTAATATTATTAATATTTTATGAATTGGCTAATTTTTATACATAGCTTTTAGCATTTGGCCATCAAGCCCATTTTATAAGCTTAAATATTATTTCAACTTCGTATGTTTGGTACTGATTGAAAATATTTTTCTGAATGATTTTTTATTTTTAGTATTCAATGGGCATATTGGGTCGTCAGCTGGTGGTTATGGCGAGGTGCATGGCGGCTTCGGCTTTGGGGTTACGAAAGGAGGAGGAACCTCGCTGTTGGAGTTCGCGAAGGCTTTCGAGTTTGTGATTACAAACTCTAATTTTCCGACGAGGGAGGAGCATCTGGTGACTTTCCAAAGTATGGTGGCGAAGACTCATATTGATTATTTCTTTCTCGGGAGGTGTGATAGGGGGTTGTGTGAGGATTGCAAGGTTATCCCAGGTGAGACCCTCGCGACGCAGTATAGGCTCTTAGTTATGGACGTCGGTATCATAATAAGGAGGAAGAAGAGGTCTTCTCGTGGTAGAACGAGGATCAGGTGGGGAACCTTAACTAAAGATAAATCTCGAGAGATGGATGGGAGGCTATCATCCATGGGAGCATAGAAGAGTAGTGAGGATGCGAGCGCTATGTGAATGATGATAGCGAATTGTGTAAGTGAGGCGGCGAGAGAGGTGCTAGGGGTCTCGAAGGGTTTCTCGGGCAGGCACGAAGACGGATGGTGGTGGAATGGAGAGGTCCAAGTCAAAGTGAAAGTGAAGAAGGCAACGTACTTGAATTTAGTAGGGAGCACGAGCGAGGAGGAGAGGAGAGCGAACAAAGAAAGGTATATGTAGCGAGGAAGGAGGAGAAGTTGGCAGTTATAGAGGCTAAGACTGCGGCATTTGGTCGTCTGTACTAGCAACTGGGGGGAAAAGACGGGGATAAGAAGTTATTTCGGCTGGCTAAGGCGAGAGAGAGGAAGGCTTGGGACCTGGACCAAGTGAGGTTCATCAAAGACTAGGGCGGTAGAGTGTTGATGGGGGAGGCTCAGATTAAGCAGAGATGGTAGACTTACTTTTATGGACATATGAATGAAGAGGGGGACAGGCTTATTATGCTAGGTGATATGGGGCATTCAGAGAGTCTCCGAGACTTTGGGTATTATAGGTGCATTAGGCCGACGAGGTCGTGGGGGCTATGCGTAAGATGAGCAGGGGCAGAGCGACCGGGCCAGACGAAATTCAGGTCGAGTTGTTGAGGTGTGTGAGTAGAGCAGGCCTGGAGTGGCTATATAATGACCCGGCCTGTCGGTTTGAGAGAATTAGCCTCGAACCCTTATTTATTGCTCCCTCTACTTCATTTAATGGTTATGTAACTTGCCGGGAGGATTTATTTTTGATTTCGGAGTAAAATGGGATACATTGTCCCTAAAATGGAGGTTTAAGTCATAGGAATTGACCGTAGTTTGAATTATGTGAAGACGACTCCGAAATGAAGTTTTACGGTTCCTATAGATCCGTAGGGTGATTTTGGTCTTACGAGTATATTCGGATGTTGAATTGGAGGTTTGTATGTCATTTTAGCGTCAATTGGCGAAAGTTAGAAAATAGGATGATTTTTAAGAAGTTTGACCGGGAGTGGACATTTTGATATCGGTGTCGGATTCCGATTCTGGAAGTTGGAATAGGTCTGTAATGTCAATTATGACTTGTGTGCAAAATTTGAGGTCAATCGGACTTGATTTTATAGGTTTCGGTGTCGGATGTAGAAGTTTGAAACTTTAAAGTTCATTAGGCTTGAATCGATGTGTAATTCATATTTTTAGCATTGTTTGATGTGATTTAAAGGCTCGACTAAGTTCGTGTGATATTTTAGGACTGGTTGGTATATTTGGTTGAGGTCCCGGGGGCCTCGAGTGAGTTTCGGATGGTTACCGGATCATTATTTTTGGACTTGGAAGATTTTCTGGGCTGGTTCTGGTGTAATCGCACCTGCGCAAGATTGATCGTAGGTGCGAGCCCGTAAAAGCAGGAATTTGGGCGCAGAAGCGTGGTGGAGCAATGTGGGCATAAGTCGAAGATGCGAGGAAAATTCCGCGTCTGCGAGACCGCAAATACGGATAAGGAGGTCGCAGGTGCGCTGGAGCCGCAGAAGCGGACAACTTCTCGCAGAAGCATGTTTGCAGAAGTGGATAGGAAATTGCAGAAATGGAGGTAAGGAAGCCTGGGCAAAACCGCAGAAGCGGTGCATTTTTCGCAAAAGCGGGACCGCATATGTGGTCAAGTGATCCGCAAAAGCGAAAACACTGGACAAACTCTATTAATTCAAGGGCTCGAGATTTTTTATCATTGATGGACATTTTGACTCCGATTTTGGCGATTCTTGAGAGCATTTTCGACG